CCTTCCCGGGGAGTAGAGGACTTTAGGTCGGCTCCTGGAGCTCTCATTATTTATCCGGGCTCACATTTTCCTCTCTGAGCCAACGTCTCAGTATATTCTCCAGGGTGGTCTTGACCTCCCTGCACAGCCCAGACTGGCCCCCAACTCAAGAGATTTTCGTGCTTCAGCCTCAGTTTCTGGGTTTACAGGCCTCTGCCACCACACCTGACCTCTCCGGGCTCTTTTTGCGTGTGTATGTGTGTGCTCATTTCCAGCCAACTTTAGCCATCAAGTGCTCACTGAGTTCCTTGTGGGGTACGATTTTTGAAGAAGTTTTAATCGGGTTTGTTTTTTCCCAGGTGTTAAGACCTATAGAGAGATGGAGAAGACAACGCTGCCTGGCCTAATGCCAAAGACCCCAATGAAAACTGTCTCTGGCTGTGAGGCCAAAGCATGAGGCCCTGAAGAGGGGGCGGGTGAGGCCAAGAGGGCCTCAGGCCTGGCCAGCAGACTTGCACCCCTCCCCTTTGCAAGGAATCGGTGGTCTTATGGACCCTGAGGAATGCAAGGGTAGAGGGAAGGAGGCTTGTGGACAGTCTTGTTCAGTGTGAAGACTTTGAATATAAATATACCTCTCTATGCCGAAGAGTTTCCCAGTCTTCCAGAACTTACCGGCTCCCTCAAAGTCCTGTATGTATCCAGCTGGGTGTCTCATTGATTGACTTTTCTCTTTCTTTCTTTTTTTTTGAAGCATGGTCTCACTGAGTAGTTTAAAATGACCTTGAACTCACTGTGTAGCCCTCGCTGGCCTTAAACTCGCAGACATCCTCCTGCCTCAGCCTCCTGAGTGCTGAGATGACAGGTGTGCACCACCACACCCAGCAATATTTCAAACCTACATCTAAAATCAAGTTCCTGCTGTGGATTGGGGATTTAGCTCATTGTTTCTGCTGCCTGCCTCACACGCACAAGGACCCAAGTTTGATCCCTGTACCAAAATAAATAAATAAATAAAAAATAAAATCAAGTTCCTGATCCGAATCATGGCAAGTAAAAAAATAAATACAATAAAACAGGAAGTCATGCTCCTGAATTCCATCCATCCAAATTCTTCCTTTTTCTGTCACTCCATATCTAATCAGTCAGCCAATCCCGTTGCCCTTAAATCTAGGGGACCACGATTGGCTCAGCAATGCAGTGCTGGCAAGCATGACGCTGTCTGATTCCCGGTACAAAAAAAAAAAAAACTATATATGTATGTATATGTATCTGTGCACACACATATCTCCAGAATCCTACAGTTTTTCAACAACCTCCATAATTTCCACCTTGCTTTAAGCTATAAGCTTGTTTTTTTTAAATTGAAATAACCATGTAAAAAAAAAAAAAGAGGGCTGGGAATTTAGCTTAGTGGTTCCACCACCTACCTCCCAAGACCAAGGACCCAAGTTCGATCCCTGGTACGAAAAAATCAATGCCAGCCTGAAAAAAAAAAAAAAAAAAAAAAAAAAAAAAAAAAACCATGTAATTGGTCTCGATTTCAACCTCCACCTTCTCTGCTTCAGTCTGCTCTCAGCAGCCAGATGAGATAGCTGAGTTCATGTTTTGTTTTGTTTTTTTTCTGTCCCAAACTCTCACAGCTTAGCATCTACCCTGGAGCAAAGGTAAAGTCATCCGTACGGCCCATAGGGTTTCCTCTCCTGGGTATTGCTTACTCTCTGACTCAGCTGTTTCTGCTCCCCTCTTTTTTGGTTTCCTTTTGAGACAGTCTCACTGTGTAGTTCAGGCTGGCTTTGAACTCACTACATAGCCCAGCAGACCATAAACTGGAAGTGATCCTCCTGCCTCAGCCTCCAGAGTGCTGAGATTACAGGTGCACACCCCCATACGTGGCAGTATGTATGCGTGTGTGTGTGTGTGTGTGTGTGTGTGTGAGAGAGAGAGAGAGAGAGAGAGAGATTTGTTTTCGTACCAGGGATTGAACGCAAGACCTTGAGCTTATGAGGCAGGCAGTGGCACCACTGAGCTAAATCCCAACCCGAGTCACATAATATTAATATAAAAAATTAAACCTAGGGAAGGAAAAATATCAAGAAGTATAAAGAGAGCTGGAGATTTAGCTCAGTGGTTCTGCCACCTGCCTTGCAAGCACAAGGACCCAAGTTTGATCCATAGTACCAAAAAAAAAAGTAGAAGGAAAGGACACAGTATCTGAAAGGAATTGAGGCAATCATGAGGTAGGTCTGAGGGTTGAGAGGTAAGAAGACCTTTTTCCATTGCTGCATACAAAGGAAGAAAGGTACAACTTGTCAGCCATGGTCAGCCACAGGATTTCTTTCCAACAAACCATAGAATGATTGGATTTGTTCTGAAAGCCAAGTATAGTATTTCTGTCTCTGCCAGAAACGCAGGAAGCCAATGTGAAGGCTGTTGGTCCAGGTGTGAGATGAGAGGACAGCGTGCGTGCTGCTATGGGGTGGTTAAAGGCAATGAAAGTCTAAGGGCCAGAACTCTGGAGCCAGGCATGCTGGTACATGCCAGCAATTCCAGAACTTGGGAGGTTGAGGCAGGAGGATCACCATGAATTTGAGGCCAGCCTGGGCTACAGAGTGAGTTCAAGTCTAGCCTGGAGAGCATAGTGAGACCCTGTCTTAAAAATCCTAAATAGCACCTGCCTGGCAAGCACAAGGTCCTGAGTTCAATTCCCAGTACTGGGGGGGAAAAAAGGTAAATAAATGAGATAGTTCATTTATAGTGTGTGTTTTAATTAGGCGGCACCTACTAATGCTTCTTAATGTATTTATTGTTG